TATAAACCCCCCCTCATGAAAAAAAGCTAGGAGCCAAGCTAAGCACTGCAACATCCCTGTTAAAAGTGGAGTGGCTTCTGAGGAAACCTAAACTCAGACAATGTTTGGGCCATGCCCAGGCGTTGCTACCCCAAGCAAAAAGGAACATGCCTGAGTAGAGACTCAGAAGAAAGGCTTAGAACTTGGGGAAAGCTTCAAGTGACACGTGCTGCGTCTTGGAAGTGGTGTGACTTGTGGTGCACAGAAGGCCCCAACAGTTCTTTGACTGCCGATACCGAAGCTTTTCTGGAGTTTTGGTAGTGTTTTGGACGCTGAGAAGCCACTGTTTCAGAACCCACGCCAAGCCCCCAGTCGCGCTTCGCTGCGGGCGGTTTCAGGAGGGGAGTTCCCGAGTATAATGCATATGAAGGTTATACGTGGTGCTAAGGGTTACGCAGTGGCATGTGGGGGAAGCCGCCCAACCTCCCAAAGCCACTAAGTATACGTTTCAACACCCCCCCCCCCCCCCCCCCCCCCCCCACCACACCCACCCGTCCACTAACAGAGAGCGCGAGAGAGAGAGAGAGAGAGAGAGAGAGAGAGAGAGAGAGAGAGAGAGTCTTCCTGGAGTATCCGTGGAGTACACTCAGAGCATCTGCCAGTGTATCCCCTGGGGTTGCAATCCCCCCAGATGATCCCGGCAGTGCTCATCAAGTTGGCTGAATTTTAGGGTAGGGCTGGCTTCTCAAAGCAAGTTTTTGCATAACCAGGGCTGCACAAGATTCACAGTTTCACAACAGCAAGAGGCCAATCCGCAAAATGGGAAACGCATTCGGCAACATTCCAGCTTGGTACACTAAACCCCTAAATTCCAACCCCCCCCTCCCCCCCCCTCCCCCGCCCCCAAACCCAGTATACTCGCCCCTAAGGTCCGCGCCTTCTTGCGATTCAAGCCGCTCACGCCTGTGAAGGGGAGGCCTAAACCCCAACGAGCCATTAGCCACTTTGGGGTTCGGGGCCTATGGGTTTAGGGGTTAGGCTTAGAAAGTTCAACCCATGTATGTACAAATAGTAATCCTAATTGCTATGCTAAGTATGCTCCATCTTCTGCTTGATAGGTTGCTCTAGGTAGGGTCTCAACTTTAGGGTTAGGCGGGTGAAGCGGATGAGCCCTGTTCCCAAACCTCCACCCCAAAAACTTGATCCACACATCATGAGATGGAAGCTGCAGGGGGATTGCTTGTCTTGCTTTCTGGGTAGCAAAACCCTAAACCTGACATGCTGAAAAGACTTAACCTTGCAGGGTCTCTTGCAGGGTTTCAGGGTTTTTTTGGGCTTTAGGGTTTTGGGGTCAAAGCGGTGCTTGGCTCAGGGCGCTTGAGTTTTGTTTCTCACGGTTTTCAAGAACCCCAACAATCAAATCTACTCGCCCCATATAGAGATAGACGACAGCATGAGCTACCACAGAGGGGCCGATTTCAGCAACGAGCTCTTTGCCTCAAGTGTCTAAGCGTGAAGGTGTAGGGCCTATCTAGGGTTATGGGCCAGAGTCGATGAGCTTCGCGAGTTTTCTCCAGGATTTGCTCCGGGAGGCCACAAAAAAGAACTTTCGTCATTACAAGTGTAACGACGGCTCTCAAAACCACCAAGTAGGGTTCTTCATAAAGGTGACCCTTTTTGTTGGTCTTTGGGGGGTTGAGCCTCAGTGAGCGTAAAAAAAGTTTTCCAGCAAGGCCTGGATGAACTAAACGGTGTTTGGCTGCCACTTAGGTTTCTGAAGTGCACCGCCCTGGCTTCCCGATCCCGTGAGGCAAGGGATCATCAGGATCGCTGCGGCAAAGCCAATGCTCTCTAAGATTGCGAGAGCTCCATCTGGAGCCAGCCGATGCCACTTTCACGCTAGGGGGGGTGGGGGGGGTGGGTCTTTGGCTAGAGTTTAGGGCGTTTACGAGTTCGCTATGTTGCTGTTGGGGTCGAGATGCTAGCAGCACAGGCCGGAGGCCCCGAAACGAGTAAATTGCAAAGACTCCGCCTGGAGTCCGCCTGCTATTGACCCTAGGCCTATGCGGCCTAAGCCTTTGAAGCCCAGAAGCCCTGCTGAAAGTTCCTGGTCACTGGATTCAGGCGGAGACTTGTCTTTCAGGGTCACAGGTGGCAAGTGCCAGCAGTCGCCTGGAAGAGGTTCCAGTAGCTCTTGAACAATGTCGGCTGTACCTGGGGATTCCAAAAAGTGAGATCTCGCAATGGTGGTTCTGGAGGGCATTCCAGGCATTTCAGGAGGGGGGGGGCAGTCAGATACTGCTCACAAGAGGTGCTGCTGTGCCATGTGAGGGACCATGTTGACATACCCGATGTCCCAACAACCTAACAACCTGACTCCGAGAAGCCCGTAAGGAAGCCCTTGAGGAAGCCCCCGGAACTTGTTTGGAACTTAAAGCGGCGCAGGAGTCCCTGACTCTTTGAACCAGCGTATTCCTTGACCTAAAGGGATCTGAAGCCCCGGAAAACCTCTCTTCAAGGCCTTCTGTTCTGTTCTTTACACTGCCGGACGAGATTCCCGAAGAGGCCAAGGTGTTTGCAGCTTCGGCTTTGATCAGTCTGAAAGGGGGATCCTAGAGTTTCGGCCTCTTTCAGGGGGAAGGGGGAAGGGGGCGAGGAGGGGATCTCGGGGGTTTCGAGGGCTTACCACGTTGGGTTCTTTATGGGAAGTCGGTCAGACTCTTCGCAGGGGTGTATGGAACACAGCAACATCTCCATCTCTGCAAGCTGGCCTAGTACAGAGCTCCATGTGCGTTCGCCGAGGAAGGGCATCACCACTAGGCAGCCCTCGTACCTTCCACATCGCCGGGCACGATTGCCGTATGCACTGCACTCATGTGAGAGTTTCTCCGAAGCCTTGGAACCCTGCTCTCTTGAAGCGCAAAGCCAGGCCTGAAACAGGGAAGCGGCCGATGAGGAAAGACCTGCACACCACCGCAATACCACGTTTTGTGCCAGGCTCGCGTAGGGATTCGGAGGGACTCCGCTATAAAACTCCCGAAAACTCCAGGCATCTCCAGGCCCTAGACCCCGAAACCCTTAACCCCTCGACTCAGGATCGGAGTCGGAGGATTTCTTGTTGCTGCCGCTGATTGCTCCTGGGTGATGCTGAAGATGCCTTGAGGTTGAGTAGAAAGTGGGTTTCCTGGGTGGGAGCCCTTTGGAAAACAGCGAATGCCGCTGCAGGGCTGTGCAGCCTAAAACGCCTCAGCCCATCAACTGCAACCTCCAAACCCTCCAGCCACCGGATGCTCAGGGTGCCTGGGCCACCTTCGGTGGGCGATGCCTCCATGGTTGTAGGCGTTGTAGGGATTCGTAAGATTCTGATTGTTTGTTTGAGGATGTTCTGCAAGTGGATGTTGGGGAACCTTTTCAAAAGTGCCAGATACCTCTGTGGGGACTCTGTCTCCGCAACCCCCTTCACACACTCCCAGCGGAAAAGCCTTGGCTTACATGAACTCCTTGTGGGTTTCAGGGCGTTTAGGGCCCTTAGGGCCTTTATGTTAGTCTTCTCTGGGAAAGGAGGCAGGGCCGGCAAATCAGCGCAAGATCCCAGAGTACCTGTTGCACGCGGATCTGTGGCCGCCCTGACCCTAACAGACCCTAACGGAACAACATAGCATCTCTTCCGTTGAGATGAGCACCCTCCACTGATCGACTCGGGCTCACTCCAAAAGTGTATTCCCATCTGCCCGATGAGCGCCAGGCGGATATTGAGGCGGGAAGGAGATCTCAAACTGAATCGTATCTGGACGGAGTGGGAGATGCGGACACGAGGGGAACTTCCGATCCAAAACTAAACTTCAGTTGTGATTGGGTTCAGGGGTGTTGAGAATTTCGCCCCATGAGGGCTTGGTGTCAAAAGGAGAAGCGTTTGTGGGGGCGAAGTGCGTGTAAGACATCGTAAAGTCGTAAACCCAATAGGCCCTAAACCCAAAACCCTAAACCCTGGGTCGTTATAGCGAAGGCCGCAGCAGAACCCACTCTTCCAAAACGCCGAGGAGCCACCTCACGAACCTGCCTCCTGTCAAAACCCCACAAAGGCTTCCACCATCGAGTTCATTCCTCTTCTAGAGTACGTTCCGGTCCCAAACTGAAGCCTTCAGCACTTCTAAGAGCACCCCGCCTTTCTCGAAGCCGGCGCATTCGATGTCCACCTGGGCATCAAAGTCATCAAAGGTGCATGGCCCGGTGTTTCAGGATGCTGTCTGTAGCGGGGGTTCTTGAACTCAAGTCTCTTGCTTCAGTGCAGTGCCATTGTCTGGGACGTTTCGTCCAACCCCGGACCCTGGGCACCAGTTTCAGATGCCCGCTGCCCCCTTCCTGTTCCCTCCCCCGCCCTTCCCCCCGCCCTAATGCCCGAATGCCCGAAACGCACGCAAAACGCCCAAGAAAGCCTCCCAGGGAGACCTCGAAGCCGCTTGGAATCAAACCCCCTTTGGCGCGAGATTCGGAGTTTCCCCCTTTCCGAAGCTACCACCTTCGATCTCTTTTCTTCGCCTGCCAACCGAGCAAGGCGACCTAAGGACCTAAGGAGACCCTCAGCTCTACAGATCCCCAGGCTCAAGGTGAAACCGGCGATTCACCTGGAGCTGGCGGCTGCGTTTGCCACAAACTGCATACATGTCAGCACATAACACGAATGGCTGCTCACAGGGGCAGGAAGCTTACCCGCACATATCTGGACACACACACACACACACACAGACACACGTACATGTAAACACCGAATCTCAAAGGGTGCCTTGGTGCTCCAACTGGGGTCGTTGGGGCCATAGTCAAAAAACGCCTTGTGCATCCCGTGCTCTGCTGAACACATAGCGACCACATCATCGCAGACTTCCACAAGAGAAGATATGCACATGTACAGTTGTGGCAAGCGCATCTGTGGCAAATGCAAGAAAGAGATATGTACATACACATGTCCATTTTGTGCCCAAGCACAGAGGAGACGTGCCCACGTGACTACGCGACTACGGCGCTCACGTGCCCTCTGCAAGCGGACAGGCGCCAAGGGGAAAATGTGCACGGCGCCCCGCCGCCGCCTCGAAGTCCTGAGTTGATCTTGTGGGGGATTATGGGGGGATCCTTGGCTTCATCTGCAAAGGACTACGGGAACCCTTCAAGGGAACCCCCGTGAAGAGAGTCGGCATGAGAATGCAGGGTCTTTATGGCATTCTTGAGATATAATGTCCTGCTACATTGCTACATTCTGGAGGCTCTCGTTGTTGAGGTTCGACTTTGATTTGGTCAGAATGTCCTTGACAATCCCTGCTTTTGGCTTCCTATCCGCATGCAGCAGCCTGTAAGCCCCCATTCTGACGCTCCTGGAGGCACCTGACGTACTTAACCTGACGGAGCCGTATGAAGGATGGCAGATGCATGAAGCCAAGGAGGTTCAGGGGAGTTGGCTCGTTTCTGTCGCGTCTTGTAAACATCCACCCGCCTCCAAGCCCTGGGAGTGTGCAGGGCCTTGGTCCCCAAACCGCCCCCTAAACCCCCACAACACCACAACAGACACAAGCAAAACCAAAAAACACGATAACCCCCTGAAGCCCCTGACGCACCACCCCTAGCCTAATGCCCCCCAACTCTGAACACTCGGGAGCTCCTGCAGGGCGCTACTGTCACCTCCGGAGGCAGCGTTACCCCAGGTGACGACCTGAGCACCCCAAGTCGACTGGTCCAGGGCCCTTATGGGAGACTCTCGTATGTTCCGACAGCTTAGGGTGCCAACCAGCAACCTACGAGAAAAGCAGGGTACTTCTGCACCCCTGATTCAGGGAAGGAGAGTACTACTGCAGAGCTTACGCTATTCATATTTCGAGTAGTTGTTGGGGCTTACGGAAGTCAGGTTGCAGATTAGAGCTGATCTTTTTTCTGGTGTCCGGGGGCTTGTGAAGTGGACAAGTGTACTTAGAATTCAAGGTCCGTTTCTTCTGGCGGTTCCAACCAACATTCTCTTGGCGTGCCGTCGCCTTCAGTAACAGAGCAAAATGCACTCTGACCTTGCCGGCACCCACGGCTAGGCAGCCTTCCCCATCTACCCACCCTCTCCGCGCAGACGCGAACGCACGCACGCACGCACGCACAAGCACACAAGCACGCACACACCCCGAGCTTCACGGAAGCTGCACGATGGAAGATTTGTTTGGAAGCTCCCTTGGCTTCAGAGGCTCTGAACCCCAGTTCTACGCCCCAAAGCCTTAAGTCACATTCGTTTCCCCACAGCAAAGGCCAGAAAGCCACAACAAACCCAAGGCGGGGCCCTAAAACCGAGCTGGCAGTGGAATGCAAAACGGGGTTGCCTGGCCGATTCTCTCTACCTTGGTTTGTTTGTTCATCCCTCAAACTCGCGCCCAAGCCGGTGCAAGAGACTGGTTGCGCGTTCCTGGTGGACGTCCAGACCCTAAAGGCCTGGGCTCTACAGTTCAGCCCGAAGCTTTAAGCCCCTTGCCTACAATTTAACATCCTCGAGTCCCCACCCGATTCCTTGGAGCCCCTGAAAATACGAAAAGTGTACCTCTGGGAGGGTCCTATACGCTCAGGCCAAGGCAGAGCCATCTCCCAGGATGGCCGCAAAGGCCGTTTTGTTGGCCTGGATCGCCTCGCGGGCTTGCCGCTACAACACAACATCTGACGAGATTTCGGGTGTTTTACAACAAAATCATAAACCCACTGACGGCCATCTTTCGTACACGATAAAGGGTCTAAAGGCTCCAGGCTTTGTACCGAAACTCGAGGGAGTTTTGGGTTCTGGGATTTGGACGTCGGGCTTCGAGGTTCTGGGGTTCTAAGGCTCTAGGGCTTCTTGTGGCACGGATCTCGGTTCAGATGGTGCAGCATGGGGTGTCGGAAATCGAAGAACCTTTTGGGCGCAGTGCAGGATGGGCCACCCGACCATGCTAGGAACATTCAATCTTCACATATGTCTGCAAACCATGTGTGTGTGGCGCAGAGTTTCAAGGCCGCTGCACACTAAAGATGTAAGATCCCTGAATTCGCAACAGGTTTCTTGAATCAAAGGAGTCTTCCTTCATGCGGGGGTATATGAGTCATAGTTTACCAGGCTTCGGTCGCTCCTAAGGCGCCCAGACCCAAATGCGAAGCTTTAGGCATCCTCTACAACTTCCGCCGAGCATCCTCCACATTCTTCAGCTGCTCCTCTGAAGGCATCACTGGGCCCAGACTAAAATCCATAGCAAACGACAAGGGCATCCTTTCTTCGGTGGGTTGAACTTTAGAAAAGGAACCCAAACAACTGAGGGCCGCACTGGGCTTCCTAGATTAGGAACGGCAGGATCAAAGCTCGAGGCAGCGCCTTTCGGACCCCTCTGTCTCTTGCACAGAAGTAGCACTTCCCTGCAGGCGAGGTGAGTTTGGGCGGGGACCTGCTTCGTGCAATGTGGGCGACAGAGGGGTCAAGCTTGACTTCGAACCACTTTGGAGTTCAGGTCCATATGCCTCCCGCTCCTGCACTTGACTGCTGTCTCCGCCAGCGGAAGCAGATCCCCAGGTCGCCACCTCAACTCCAATTTCCACGCGGCGCTTCCGGCCCAGCTTTCTGTTTTCGGGCTTCATGCCCCGAGGCTAAAGGCACGGGCGAAGAAGCGTCTTCACTTAAGGGTTCTCTGCTATTGACCGCCGATGCCCCCCACTGCGACAATGTCGAGGTCTCATGGAGACCGACGAATATACTACCTAAACGTAAAGCGTCAGCTTCTGACTTCTGAGGACGGTCTAGGTTTTCTGGCGCAGCTGCGCCACTGCCCTCATCCTCATGCAGGTGTGGATCAGAATCGGAGCATCTTCAAAATATGTTCCTTATGGTTCGACATGCCCACCACGAGTCCAAAATTTGTGCTAACCCCTAAGCCCTGAAGCCCTAAAGCCCTAAAGCCCTGAGGCCCTAAAGCCCCTAGAGCCCCTAGAGCCCTAAACCCTATACACAGAAAACCAAAAGGCAACTCGATCCGCCCGAAAGTGCCCCTTTGCGGCAGCCGACGGAGCCATCACCCCGGAGCGCGGCAAAGGCGCCCAAGGAGGCTTGAAGCCTTATGGGGTCTTTAGGCTCTTTAGGGTTTAGGGTTTGGGGTTTAGTTTGGGGTTTAGGGTGCTCTCGACACGTCAAATCTCGGCAAACATGATATGAGACGATTGGACTTTTGGGTTGCCGCAGCGTCTGAGATCTTTGTTCCGTGTTTTTGGGGACAAGGTGACCTGCCAGAAAACGAAGCAGCTCGAAAAGAATTGCATTCTACCGGTATTTAATAGCTGCTATAGCCCTGAGCCTCCAAATGGAAACAAGGCAAGCAAGGCATCTCTTTCGAGAGCCTTGCAGTCATGACGAGGTGCTGCTCGACATCCGCCAGCTCCTCTCTTAGCTGCTCCTCGTCCTGGGGGACAGATTTTATCGCCCACGCCTTCTCTGCACATCGGTATTTTGTTGAAGATCGCCCTTGCTTGGTGGGTTCCTGCTGGCCGCATACCCGAATTATTGGCACTAATTCCTCGGTTTAGTCACTTAGCTCACGGACTCGTTGTTGGAAGGCGCTGCTTCTCGCACAGCATCCAGGCGCTTTGTTTTTTGTTCGGCCTGGATGGCGAGATGAAACGATACGCACCTTTGTCCACAAAGCAGTGGTCCCTAGGCTAGCTTCAAACAAGTGACATGTTGTTTGCACCTGCCCCGTGCCTTTTTAAGGGTCGGGTTCGTCGAACTTGTCCTAACAATGCTTGGCAGTATCGGCTCGGCTGGCCTGTTGAGGCCCTAATTGAGGCGTCTTTTACCCCGCGCCGGGCTTCTGGTCATTGCTTCCGCATTGAAAGCATTGTGGGTGCAAAGGCATGAGACCCCAGAAGGGGGGGGGGGAGAGGCGGCGCTTGAGCGCTGCGTGCGACCTGGTGACCTGCTCAGATGCGCAGCTAAGAGCGTGGTTCTTCTCTTGCCGTTGGCACGGACAAGGGTTTCGGCAAGTTAATAACAATATTCTCAGTACATCCCACCGTTTCTTGCTCCCGCGCGCCCTCAGGTTTTTGGGCCTGACTCGGGGGTCAGTTGTTCTTCACTGTTCTTGCACCCCCCCTTCAATTGGAATGGGTATGTTCGGGATGAGGAATATACACACATATACATATATATATATATATATATATATATATATAATATGGGTACGGTATTGGGGCAGTTCATAGCCTCATAGCTTCTCCAAAGGGCATAGACTTCGAATTACTACCAAGCAGGGATTGCAGATATCTCCAAGCCCAATATTCCCAAGTTCTCTGGCAAGAGTCTGGATCACCCCAGGTCACCACAGAACCATCTTCGCGAAGTGCAGCAAAGCAGTTGAACGTTGCTTGAATGCTCCGAACATGCTGCAGCTGCTCCTGAACTTCGAGGTCACGCCGAGACTTGGACGTACTCTGCCTATGACACTGCGCGGTTGTTCCCCAGAGACGGCTCTTTAAACCCTGACCCCGATGTCTCCAACCCGAAACCCGAATAGGGCGAGGTCGAGTGTACCGACGCCTCACATTCGTCCATTCGAGGCTCAGGCTTTGAAACTCACCACACCGCAGACTCTAGGCCCCTAGGCTGCGGCCTCCGACCTGAATCCTTCGACCAACCTGCTGAAACCCTTCAACCATCGAAGCGTCCAACCTTGGACCTAGAAGGAAAACATCTGACGCGCTTGGGAACTCACGAGCCTGCCAAGTCCATGAATTTCAACTGACAAAAAAAAGAGGGTGCACCGTGTGGGGTTTTACAAGGGAACCTCACAGTCTAAATTCCAAACCTCTGGCCTGTACGGCGCTGCAGTCGCCTCCCCAGTCCTCCTCGCCCCAAGCCAGAACCGAGCCATCCTGCTCATAGCGGTTATAAGGCGCCTTTAAAGGCTTTAAAGGCTCATGGCGTTGCTGCAGCGTGGGGGCTCATGAGCTTTGACATCCTTAGCTCTCCTGAGCTGGGGGGTGGTGGCTCATTTCAGGGTTTCGCTGCCATTTGTGAACGCGCCGCCATCGAGAAGCGGGGGGGCCCTCTTACCAGGCAAAAAAGGAGGCTCCCCAGAGCAGACCAATATGAATCCCCAAACAAAGGGGCGTTTGCAAAAGGGGCCCCAAAAAGGAGCTCCAATTAAGAGAGCAGCTAACGGGGGGAAGCTCCTCCAGGAGCGCCGCGAACGCCGCCGCGCTGCTCTGGATGGCCGTCACATGAACTGGGCGATCCTGACACCGGGCTTCTTGGCTTCCATGCTGGGGGCTTCTGGTCATTTGGGTTTAAGAGAGGGTTTATGGGGCGTAGTCCGCGGGGTCTTAGGGGCGCTTTGAAACATGAGAGCTGGTTAGCTGCTAAGGGAGGTTTTGAGAAGCCGAAACGCGACCAAAGCTTCGATCCCAGGGAGACAGATTGAATCCTACACGGCTGCTCGAGAACGACAAACCTGATGCGCAACACGCGCAATGCAAACGTCTGCTTACCAGCCAAACCACGTTTCTTGACCCTGCAGTAGGGTCCTTTCAGCCATGCGTGCCCTGACTTAAGAATCGAGAAACCCTAGGACAGCGAAACTACTCCCCATAGGTACAGCATGTTCCAATGTGTGCCTAGTCACCCTAGTGGCCCGTGTTCAAGATTTCATGATTGGTTTCTAGGGTGAGTTCCGAGAGTCGTTCGTGACTCTTTGTTGGAACCATTTCATGTCCACACCATCCCAGAACTGTCCTGAGGGGCGCCGGCGGTTGCATCCTACATCCACGGGGTAAAGCCTGGTGTCCGGAGATTGAGTCATATCGAGGCTCTGAAGGTCTCGGAAATGATGGTTGGTTTAGGGTTGCAGTCTTGACTTCAACAGAGCTGACACAACAAGGTTCGAACACTTCCCCATGAAGTGGTTTCCCAACCACAAGAGCAGTGCTGCCTCCTCAAGAGGCTCACTTAAAGCAATCTTAACCTGTTGAAAGTCCGGTAAAGCCTGAATGGGAAGATTAACTCCTCAAGGCCCAAGGGGCCAAAGGACGCCACGGTTTGATCCTCTCAGGCGTTTACGAGTCTAAGGCTAGGGCGGCTAGCGACCCTCAAGATAATTAGCAAAACGTCAAGTAATCTAGTTGTGTCACAAAGTGCCTGCAAGAACGGCCGCGCATGCGCAAGAAAGCGCCAAACACTCCCTGAAGAAAGCAAGTACACCAGCGAAGACTCCAAACAGTTAAGGGTGGAATGGTGTGTTCACAGATTGCAGCGTAAACTGGCCTTACCCTGCAAGACAAAAGTGCAAAAGGAGTTCTATTATACAACTTTCGGGAAGCTGGTAGAACCGAACCTGACTGCAGGAACCGAACCGCAGACCAAAACGTCGTTTTCGATCCGGACCCGCAGCGCACCGCAAGGAACTAGCACTCACATGGAGATAAAGGGAGGCATGAAGGGACACTGGGAGACAACGGGAGACAAGAGGTGCAGGGACCCGGCCGAGACCCCGCATGAAGTGGGAAGAAGTCCAGCGACCGGGCCGCGGCCAACAAGCCTATACCAACCCATGAAGGGAAAAAAATGAAGGGGGACCTCGGTGCGGCGTGCTACAGCAAACTCAGTAAACTTAGTAAACCCTAGACTCCCTAAACCCCCCCGTTGGGGGATCGGGGCCCCGGCACAGTCCTGGCGGAGAGCACAGAAGGCACACCCAGACGCCTGGATCTGGCAGGCATCCTTGGGCAGCTGGTCAAATGGCTCCAGACCTGCGGCAGATCTACAATATTGGTACGCTCTATATTCTATGTATACACAGTTACAAACTTATCGTTGACCAGGCTCGATACACATATATATATATATATATATACATATGTATATATATACATATATATATACATATATATATATATATATATATATTAATTATCTATTATGTACATACTTTTTTGATCGTCGTACTAACACACCATATGTCCGAGATTAGGGCTATGAAGGTTTAGGGTTCAAGTTTGACGAGAAATCCCGGTATGGGGTGGTCTACGTGCTGCGAGTTCTGAATTGGTTAGGACTTCGTGTTTGCCTCAGCTTGGGCCCTCTGTCCCTCTGTTGGCCAACACAAGAACACGACGGACTTGTTCCAAGTAGACATCTGGAGTTTGCATCGCAACTTGCAGACCTCTCTGATTCGCTTTGGCCATCGGGGCCCACAACAACCACGCAACTTCCTCAACTCCCAAAACCTGAATCCCACCTTTCAATCTCCCCAATCACCAGGTGTGGGAGCTTACCATAACGAGGGGCCCTTGATGTAGACTCCCATCCCAAAATCATCGTGATCCCCTCAAACACGGGCCCCAATAAGGGGTGCCTCTATTTCGGAAACCGACAGCAGGGCTACTTCTGGCCCAGGGCCATCCTGCAAAAGAGCAGCTTCGCAAGGAATGCTTTATGATATAGGGCTTGCAGGTATTGGGGAAAGTATCAGAAAATCTACCCCTTTAGGCTTCTACGACTTAAATAGCCTTACCTCGAGCTGTCCCGCCTCCATGCAGATAGTCGCCCCAAACCACAACTTGCCCATCACTTCGCAGTGCTGCAAAGGCCTTGTCATTCGCCTCTGCTACGGGGAGATCTCTGAGCTTCTTGGGTGCTTCGGCCACACGGAGTGGCTTTCATTCGTCACTACATGGTCCCTTAGCATGGGCCCTTTTAAGGGTACAGTACTAAGGGCTCATACATCAGAACCCTTTAAGGGAGGTAAGGGACCATATTAAGGGCCCATGAAACTACCCTAAGATTCATGTTGTCGGCCCCTAACATCGGCTAGGAGGAGTCCGGTTTGGACGGACTCAGGCAGCCCCTTCTCTGGCATGTGTTGGTGAACGTCCAGCGGGCTCTTGAAACTATCAACCCTCCATCCCGTGACCCCTGAAGCACTGGGACCGTAGCCCACAGGAGAATGGTGCTGCGAGCCTGGAGGCACTGCACGCTGTGCAGCTCACGTTGCTGTTGGCTGCTGTCTCCGCCACTCCTTGCGATGTCTGGAAGGGTCAACTCCCAGACTTTTCCAGCATCTTCCGATTTCAAGACTTCCACACCACCCCCACGCTCCTCCAAGCCCATCATAAAAATGCGCCAACCCCATCCATGGTATCAGATGTTCGGGATAGCCCCGGAGACTCCATTCAAGGGCACACTCCTTATGCATATATATATATATATATGTATATACACCTTATTAATTATAGTCCGCCCCTTCAGCTTTACATTAACCTTTTTTATCCACTATATGCCGAAGTCGACCCGAAATAGCCCCAAAATAACTCAAAAGGTATTGGAGTCCCGAACTTCTCCAAGAAGGACCAGGCGGCATTTCATCACCCCACGTGATCACGCGGCCGTTATCCAAGAGAGCGGCGAACGCCGCGGAAGTTGCCTGGATGTCCTTGACGTTCCTAAGTTTCGCAGATTCGGACTCGACATTCCAGTTTCGGGGTTTGGGGGCATGAAACTGCCAACTTCATTCTGAATCCCACCAGGCGGGCTTTGCGGTTTCGGCTGCACCACCCCAAGTTCGCCTCAATAACCGCCCCGAAAGGGAGCACGGGAACAGTGCCCTTGATGGGGGTTGGGTGGAGGTGGGCGCTTTGGGCTTTGGCGTTTGCAGGCTTCTGGAGTGCAAACCTTTTTAGGCTACCGCTACCTTCTACCGCGGCAAAGTCTCGGAGATCAAGTTAGCGGCTTTAAGGTTAGGGGGTCGGGGCTTGGTAAGCAGCCTCCGCAGCCCTGCTTGCAATGACTCTTAGAATGTTTTGACCGAAGAACGAATCGTTGCAAAGAAGCATCTGCAACTCGGGCTGAACGACTTCACTGTCACCTTGGCGATACAGTATCAATCGCTCCTTTCAGTCTCAAATGAAGCTGATCTGTCCTTCTCCATCCTAGGACCCCATTTAATCAAGAGCCTCAATGAGACCTTTCGTCACACAGGCCCTCAAGAATCATTTCGTCCATCGCACCTCCGTGTCCACGCGAGCCCCATGTGACGACCTGAGCAACATGGGCCGTACAGGGCTTTCTTCTATAGCCTTTGGGGTTTATCCGCTTTAAGAACGTATATGTATATGTATATATATATGCGTATATATATATATATATATACATATGTATATGTATATGCATATGTATATGCATATGTATATGTACATATATATATATATATATATGTATTCTATGATGGCACAAAAGACTTCACGGCTAAACCTCCGGAGACAAGGCTCGGTGCCATCCCGGCGAAGCCCGGCGAAGGCGCAGGAGGTTGCTTGGATGGCCTTGTGTCTACGAAACATGTTTTTTCTGTTTTTCTTGGGGTTGAGGCTTTAGGGTTTAGGGTTTCGGGTTTAGCTTTTGGGGTTCCTCATTTGATGGTCATATTCAAGGGGTATGTTGGGGGGGTGGGGAGGGCGGCTATTTTGGGAGATGCACAATCGGAGCAACTTGTGGGAGGGAACATGTCGCACCATCTTGCACCTCTTGCAGTATTGGACTGGAAAAGACAGGGAAGACCCTGGCGTGATCGGGAAGCCACCCGTCATCATGCGGACTGTTTCGGACTGTGTGAGTGCATGCCGGTGACAGTCACACTCTCTGTCTCTGTGTGTGTGTGTGTGTGTGTGTGTGTGGGTGGGTGTTTTTTGTTTTTCAATTGTTGGTCGAAACCCGTAGCCCTACAAGCCTCAGGAGTGAAGCAGGGGAGATGACCCAGGCCAGCTAACCTCAAATACAAACCCCTCTTCCCAAACTGGGGACGAGCACAGACGTCAACGTCTGCCAACCTCTGACCTGAAAGGACCTGTAGGCGCACTTCGCTACACGACCTGCTCTCTCAACTCAAACGAACATCGGAGACCGGCCTTCACGTTTCTGAGCTGCTCGCAGTCCCAAGGTTGACTTCCTTGTATTGAAGGCAGTGCAGGGTGTCGGTGCCGGATTCAGGGTGTTCCAGGAACGGGACCCCCCTTTTGTGTGTGAGTCTTCTCCAAAACAAAACGACGCAAGTATGCTTGTGCAGCCCCTCTTGGGGTCTGTCTGCTGGAGAGGGATTGAGAGTGGGTGCTTACACCCAAATGCTTGGAAGAGTTGACTCCCTTCTTGCGAAGGCGCTCCTGGGAATCCTTGGGTTTGATGAGGAGGACAAGAGGGCAGGGCAATCTCATAAGATGAAGATGGAATTAGATGGTCCTTGAGGTTTAGAGAGAAAGGGCCCATCACTTGGACAAAGAGCCCAGGCAGTTCGACCCGCCTCCCCTCCTCTTCCCCTGAGCAAACTCTCTGGAAGAAGCAAGTCCTCATCAACTTGGCCGCAGTGCGCCGCCCCGAACTGTCTCATACATCGCCCTGACCAGTGTCCAAACCCTCGAGTCGAGAAGTCCTCTAACAGCCAATCCTCGCGAAAGCCAAGCGGCCATGACCCCAGGCTACCACGGAGCCTTCAGTTTGAGGCCCAATGAGTTGTCGGGCTCTGTAGGAATTTCGGGGGAAGCTACTCAAGGGAATTCTCGAAAACTGGTCGTCCTACTCAGCTTGGACGCCTCGAAGATCTCGCTTTCTTGCTTCTGGATAAGCCTGGAAAAAGAAACTTCTTCTGCCAATGAGAGCCAATGGCGCGGAACAACATTGCAATCAAGAGAATGCCTCGGATGCAGCCCTGGTGCCGTCGCGTCTCAGAGCAGCGAAGGCGGACTGCGTGGACTGGAGAGCCTGAACTTGCCGCCATCTACAGAGTGAGGTGATTCTGCACACACAATGAACATGCAGCTCATGTGCAGTTATTGTACCCTGAAGACATCGAGCTCGCGTTCAACCCTCGAAAGACAGGGCGATAGAAAAACAGCCCGTGCATGCTGTTGCCTTTACGCTTTAAGCGTTTACGTCTTTCAGGCATAGCTAAAGTACAGTTCCTCTCTTTGCAGACCTAGACGGACGCATCAAACTTCTATCTCCCAAACAGCTCAGAATTTGAAACCCCTCAAACTCCTAGCACAGCTTCAACTCGCGAGCCAGCCCAAACCCCGAACAGCTCGCATGGCCTCAACTTCCCTGAGTTCTTCCTTCAAGTGGGAGCAGTCGCCACCGCTCCTCTGAAGAAGTGAGGGTGGAAATCGGGCACATAATCATCACTTGAGGGCGCAAAAATGAGGAGTGCATGTCTGCTTCGGGGTTTCTGCAATAAGGACTATTGTATTTTGGGGACATGAGGAGCCCAATTTGTAAACTCCGTTAGGATCTTGAAGAGTTTTAGGGTAGGTATGGCACCAGCGTTTGGGATTCAGGGCCTGCTAGGGCGAGCGCGACAATCCTTGCGTCCCCCCAGGCAAATACCGTGCCATCGGCGCGGAGCAGCGCGAATGCCTGGGCTCTCGTGATGCTGAAAGTACACGTCGCATGCAACCTCAAGCTCAGTTTTCGCTTCGTGGGGCCGTTAGAGTTTGATTAGGCTTCAGCACATATCATGTATCTGAAGCCTGGCGGAGGACTCTCTGGAAACTGGGCCCAATCAACGAATCAGCGCCTTGCAGCCAGCTTTGGGGTATCCAAGCTACTACTTCTCGAAGCCACCGGACCCCAAACCCTAAACCTGCATGAGACTTGAACAAAACCCTACGTAGCACTCACGCCCAGATGCACAGTCCGTCCGCGCGATGACGCTGCGCCGGACCTAGCACTGAATGGCGGGGGGGGGGGGTTATTACATCAAGGCAGTTCAGGAACCATCAAAAGATTCTGCTCATGTGCTAGGCCCCCGTTACGGAGCTGAACGGGTGAAAGTCCATGGACGTCGGGCTGATGATCTTAAAGCACCATGCAGCCAAGTCAACCAGGGTGCTACAGCCCAAATGGAGCTGGAGTCCTGCAGCGCCCGGATCGAGGCATATCGCACAAACTATAACAGGTATCCGAACCTGAGTAACAGAAACTCTCTGAATTGAGGGGGTATTCGAGCCGCTAAGTAGTCTTCATCTACCAGGTTGCCGGAATATTCTAGGCTCGGGGCACGAAGGCTTGTGGCCCGAACCACTGCACCGTCACGAGACCCCAACCACCAAACAGCCCTGGGCAGCGGAGGTACGGGCAAGGTGCAATGTTGATGGTGCAAACTGTGACTTAGGGTCAGGGTGGTCAGGGCTCTGGGGCCTTAGGTACATGAACCCCAAAAACCAAGGGTTTCGCTGCGAGGCACACCAAGATCTTCCACGCTTGGGCACTGCGTAGAAGAGCTTAACAGAGCTTCCACCTGCCCCTTTTTCCCGAAGTCCGGGCAAAAGGTGTCCTTCAAGCCCGCCTCCTCGAGCGTCCTTGGAACGAGAAGTTGGCCGTGGGGGGAGGGGCGGGGGCGGGAGGGGGAGCAGGGGGCCGGGTTTTTGCTGCCACATGAAGCGGTAGTCTGGCCGACTGGCTACCTCCTCCCAGAACACTGAAAGCTACATCCTGAAGAAAACCTTCTCATACAACAAGCGCGGCATGGACGAAGTGCTCCGGATTGGAGCAGGAACACAAACACCTTGAGCTGCACAAACACATGCTCTAATTCTGCAGCAGACACAGCAAGCTCCAGCGGCTGGCCCCCCGCGTCTTAAACGCATGCTGCGAAGTGCTGCGAAGAGTCTTCTCCGGCGGCAGCTTTGCTGATGCGCTGACAAGGCCCTGGAGGCCTTGAGCACGGCTAGCCGGAGCACGTATCTTCTTGAAAGCGATCATTGTCAGAGAGTAACAAGAACAATCAATCAAATATTATTTGGTATAAAGTTTCAATTGTTACGCTCTGTCCACAGGGTCTTGGGCTTTTTGCTGACCCCACCTAAACTCTGGTCATCATGTTGGCCGAGTTCTAGAGGAGTCTCGTAGCCCTCTGAGCCATCGATATACAAGTTCACCACCAGACCCTCAGCAAAGCTCTGCACCGCATCACATCAGCCATTTTAAAAGGGGGGACCATGTCGACGACAATTGCGGTACGTGTTGCAAGTCTTCTTTCTGAGCTGAAAGACTAGGAGTTGCAGCATCCAGCCATCTTGAGTCGAGCACCAACTCGTAGCTCCGTATCTAGAAGATCTAGTAGCCCTGCTTAGCTGATAGGCACGCTAGACCACGACATCAACAGCAACTTCTGCACCGACCTAAAGGCGCCAGACCCCCTACACCATGGGCATCCCAAGCCGAGAAGATACAGGGGAATATCCTCTACCCCCAAAAGTTAGGGGCCGAACAGAAGGGACCTCCCAAAAAGGCGTACACGCAGCCAACCTTGGGCGAACCTTGTAAGCCCAAAACCTCGGTCGGTTAACGGACAAGTCAGGCCCCTCAAGAAGAAAGGTCCTGCTCGCCCTGTCTTAAGCAGGTCAGTCGGCGTGACACCGAACCAGGCTTGACGAGTGTTTGGCAGACATGCGAGGCCGCTGTACAAACTGCCAGAGGCATGCTGCTCACATCTCAAACAAGCAAACTTTTGTAAAGGTGGTGAGGCCCTGCCGGGAAGCAGAAAGTCCGACCAGCACGGGTTCCTCACTCTCGTGAAAGCGGGTGCCATGAACAAGCCTGAAGAGCTCGCAGGCAACCCAGAACGAACCATGCCACGAAAACCATGTTTCAGGGCAAAACTATACTTGAAGTGACATGCAACGCCAAAAGTGTACAAGTGCATTGCCACGAAAGTCGCGAACCGAAGCTCAGAGACAAGAGCATCGTCACTGAATGAAAAGGCAGCATCAAAGGGCTGCGCTCAAAACTGGTAAGGAAAGTGGGTTCGGGAAGCCAACTCAAAAGTGCAGGTGCAGAAGCTCAGCTGTGCTCGCCAGCAGCGCAGCCGAAGGCCAGCAGCACAGCAGCCAGCGCCCAGCTGCAGCTGCTTAGTCCAGGGAGCCCTCAGGCTCAGTTGCAGGCACAGGCTGCCTCTCCACAGCAGCAGCCAGAAGCAGCCCAGCAGCCGCAGCAGCCTGGATCGCCTGCGTTTCCCAAGCAGTGGCCTCTTCAAAGGCCTGGTGCCAAAGTGCCCGTCTGGAGTGGGCAGCTCTGTTCTCACGTGCACAGTTGGCCGCAGCATCGGCCTTGTCGTTGAGGTCCCGGCACAACTCAGCACTGATTCCATCAGGTGGCCTCCAGTGCCTCTTTCTGCCATGCGCAGGCACCCAAGTGAGGCTGACAGCAATGCCCCGACTTTGCAAGTTCCGCAGATTGGTCGCAATCTCCTCGAAGATGCAAGGAAGAGCAGACATGCCCGGCCGAGCCACTCCTTGCAGTGCAGCTTGGCAGTCGCAAAGCACATGAACACGTCCTCGTCGATCTCCAGGCAGTCGTTGTAGAGCACGTGTGATGTAGAGCAGTGCCAGGGCCTCGTTTCTGAACGCAGATTGGTCCTCCGAAGCATCACCCGTACCGAAAGAGGCCTCGGCGGTAACGATGGCGAAGGCTCCAACTCCCTCCTTGGCGCTGCCGTCGCTTGCGAGGAACAGCTCCGCGTCGTCCTTGAGGAAGGCCTCGAGGTGGTCAGCGACGTCCTGCTCGAATCCCTCCAAGTCCACAGCTGGCGGCGCCGGCGGGTACGCCTCGATCTGGGCAGCGAAAAGCCGCTCCTGAGCGCGTTCACGGGGCAAAGGCACCTCATGTCTGCAGACCGCAGTTTTCTCGCACGCCCACGCGAGGTGGGCCCGGCTGGGCCATAAGCCCCCGCACAGGCACTGAACTGGCACGTCCCGAGGACGGCGAAGTTTCGCAGCAGTGTGCCACGCACTACCTCCAGTTGCCATGGCCGCGCGCCGCAGCTCCACAGGGCCTTGTCGACCAAGAAGACGGTGTCCAGCAAGGGCGTGGTGTTGACCGTGAGGGGGACCAGGTAGTGCGAGACCGCGCGCACACTCGGGTTCGGCGCGATGAAGCGACCGCTTAACTCGCCCGCATCGGTGCACGCCTCGCCGTTGGTGCTCCTCCTTAAGCCAGTGCTTGAGGACGCCGAGGTTGTCGTAGCCAAAGAAGAAGCGCCGTGTGTCCCCTCGGGGATCGGTGCGGTGCAGCACCTTGCCGTTGGCCGAGGCACTCCATCCCATCCGGTCCAAAACAGCCAGAGCAGCTGGCGCCACGCGAATCCACGGTACAAAGGTGTCCTGCAAGCTGACGGTGTCGAGCCATGCAGGAGGGCGGGTTTGAAACCTCCAGGCCATCTTCAGCGCGGCCCAGTCGCCGTACCACTCCACTGAAAACTGCCAGCCAAAGACCGCGTAGACGAGCACCTGGGGCGTCTCCTCGGTGATGCAGTCCTTAAGAGTCGCAGTGATCTCTGCCTGAAGCTGTTGTGTTTCACGCTCGCTAGGCCTAGCCACCCCAGCCGCCCAAAACAAAGCTGAGTGAATCAGGCTGGTGAGGATACGGCGTCGGTACTCCATCCGAGGTCGCAGAAGTCGTAGGTATCGAAGTCGCAGCAAAAGAGTCTGCAACGACAGCTTTAACAACGAGGTGGCCCCGTCGCTGAGCTTCAGCTCGATGCCAAGAAGCTCCAGAGAGCTTTCTCTGGAGTAACCCCGTTCAGCAATGAGCTCGTTCAGAGAAGAGTCAGAGTCGAGCACCACGATTGCACACTTCGTGGGCTTGCAGACAAACTTGAAGGCCTCGTCAAAGCGGTCGCTCCTTTGCAAGGCAGCCCGGAGAGCTGTAGCTGGGCAAGCAGCATGAGGCAGAGGCCAAAGAGCCCTGTCGTCGACGAAGATCATCAAGTCCACGTCTGAGCACCTGCAGTACTCGGCCCATGTGGCCCCCACCGCCAATGCGATGACCGGAGACAACGGGCACCCCTGCAAGAAACCGGCGGTGGTAGTGCGCCAGCGAGCGTCAAAGCAGCCCCCAGCCTTGAAGAGGCGTTGGGGCTCAGTGTAGAAGGACCGCAGGAGCCCCGCCAGCCACTGAGGAGCCCCAAGTCGTGCCAGGACCAGCTCCACCGCCTCGATGTTCAAGCTGTCGAAGTAGGCAGACAAATCCTGCTTCACGTAGCGGCGGCATCCCATGTGCCAAGCTTGCAGGATTCGTGCATGGCCGTCCTGAACTCCCCGCTGAGGGGCCGCTCCAAGTGCCAGGTGGTTGAGCCAAGTGTCGACCCAACCCCGAAGTTGCGCATTCGCCCCGGCCCTCCAGATCACAGAGCATAAGGCGATTGGCCGAGTGGCCTCGTCACGCTTGGGAAGCAGCGCAACGACTGCTCTGCGCCAAGCCACAGGAACGTAGGAGCAGGCAACAACCCGGCACCACAAGCGCGCCACAGCAGCCCACCACGCCTTTGGGAGGGCGAGGAGCTGCTCAGGCGTCCATTGGTCTGCTCCAGGGCTCTTCCCCTTCATCTTCTTTGTAGCTCTGATGAGGTCCTCAGGGCTGAGGTCGAACTTCAGGTCTGAGAGGGGAAACTGCTGCAAGGAGGCCAGTATGCCGCGCACAGCACTGGCGTCATTCGAAGTGCTAGATGAGGTCCACTTTTTGTGCCACAACTCTGCGTGTTCAGCCACCATGGAAGCAGGATGCACGCAGGTGGGGATCGCATCAGGGCTCACAGTGGGCCCCTGGAGCTTCAACGCCTCCTCAGCCTTGCGCTTGACCCAGGTGTGGGCCTTGGCCCACTGCTGTTGCGTGTCCACGCGCCATCTTTCCAGCCTTGCGTTGCGCTCCTGCTCCGAGTAGACGTTGTAGAGCTCGGAGACGGCGTCGATGGAGGCGTCGATGTAGCAGAGGTCGATGTAGGGGAAGCCCGGGACCACGCGCCGCAGCTGACCACAACCTCGTCGAATAGCACGTTGAAGGTGTTCATCGTGAGGCTGTTGGCGAAGCTGAGACAGTCGCCCAAGGAGGCCACGAAGAAGTTGCGTTGCACGAGACTCGTGCCCATGCTCTCCGCATCGGTGCTCAGCTCGTCGAGGTCGCACAGGTTCCCAAAAGGAGCTACGTCTGCTTCTGTCCGCCCAGCCGAAGAAGTCGGCACCCAGAGAGCACTCGGCCACATCCGAGAGCTGCGTCCAGGCCTCGTCCAGCTGAGCCGCGTCGAGGTAGGTGGAGAACAGCTCTTCGTCCCAGACGGCGTCGAAGTTGAGTCCAATGGCCGCCTCATCTTGCAGTGAGAGCTCGTGGAACTTCGGGAGCACGTAGTCAGAACGGCGGCACTCCACCTCGAGGTCATAGCCCACACAGAGGTGGTCCGAAAGGTCCGGACGCTCAAAGTGCTCCACCCTGCTGGCCAGAGTACTGCGGTCCGCGATGGCATAGTCGATGCGGCGGGTGCGTCGCTTTTCTCCGGTGTTCAGGTCCGCGCGGTAGGGGTTGGTGAAGGGGAGGGCCTCCTCGAAGTCAGCGTCCAGCACTTTCACCACTCCACTCGCAGTAGCTTCGACGATGTAGCCCTCGTCTGCAGTAGCGTTGAAGTCACCGAAGATCACAAAGGAGCCACCAAAGGCCCGCGCAGCCTCCACCAATTCGCGCAGCATTTCAGAGGTGGCCTCCAGGTCGCCAGGGAAGCCGTAGGCCGCAATCACTAAGAGGTGATGCTTGCGGGAGCTGCTGCACAGCTCCACCAGCCCAGCTACATGGCGCGGCTGCGCCCTAGCCAAACCCAGATTGACCTGTCGAAGGGGCACTTTCGAAACCAAAGCCACCCTATGTGAGCCCTTGTTCACATCGCCAGCGCTCAGGAGCGCACTGTAGCCCTCGTGCCGCCAAGCCTCCACAAAGCC